TTAGCAGCTTCTAGAAAAAAAATTACCTCAGCTGACAAATAAAATGACAGACTTTGCTTTTTTTTTTCCAACTGCAAACTCGGTCTGGGAACTGAAAGCAAAGATATGAGTTCTGATCACCTCAAGCACTGCCACCCAGCACGTCATCCCGACAAGCTTGCAGAGTGCACGGAACTGCACACGGGGAGTGCAGTACTGGGAGCGTGGGGTACACGCCCTGATGCATGAGTGCATGGGGGTGCATGTCATGGGTGAGCAGCATGCTTAGTGTGAGTGTGTAGGGTGCACACTGTGCACATGCAGGGTGCACCCCACGGGCATCTGGGGTGAACTCTGTGGTGGGTATGCTGCCAGAGCCCAACTCACCGAGGTTATCTGCAACAATTCAGAAGCCACAGGCAGACACAATGCCTGAGACAATGGTCAGACAGTGCATGCACTTGGCAGTTGGAGGAAACCCCCTCTGCTCTTTCTTTTAACAAATCAAACATGATCCTGCAATTGTATTAAAGGCAGGGGCCCAGCTGGACAGGCCAGGCTGACAGCTGGGGGTTACCAGCTGGTCACCAGCCCTAATCACAGCACTTCCCCGTAACCTCCCCAATCCCCCACCCAGGCAATCACCTATTCCCACAGACAGCAGAGCACTGCATCCAGGGCAAACAGGCAATAAACAGCCACCTCAGCAGGAGCCAGGTAAAGGGGAAAAGCATGACTGTGGTGCAATGGCATGCAGACACTGCTGGGGAGCAAAGCCCAAGGGCCAGCTGGTCATCTGCTGCCCTGGAGACCTCCAATCCAGCATGACCTCAGGACAGTGGTTGCTCAACTGCTGGTGCAGGGCCAGAGGCTGATGGGCAGGCCTGAGGTTGCTCCACTGAGGTCAGGGTGACTCAGCATGATTCAGGGGGAAAATGGTGAAGAGAAAAGGTCTGAGGGAAGCAAGACTCAGCCCACATGTAACATCTGCAACTGCCTGGGACCCCCATGCTGCAAGCTGTGATGGATGCTGAGCTGCACAATCAGAATGCAGGAGGGAGGACATAGAAAAACCTGAAAATCAGGTTGTGGATGCTGTTTCAAGAGGAGGAAGATGGCTGCACATGCCTAGAGGTGCCATCCATGAGAAGGGTGTCACCATCCTGCTCTCTGACCTCTGCCACCCTACCTTGGAGATGGGGCACCCTGGGGATGCTGCACCCGTCAGCCCCAGCATTTCTTGACAGCTGCTGCAGATGGCAGAGGAGCCTCCCCAAGGAGTCACTCAGAGCACAGCCTTGGCCCACTGCCACACCACAAAGGGCTGTTATCTCTGGGCATCTCATGGGGCACTGCAGAAAGCAGTGCTGGTGGTTTGGCTCTGAAATAAAGTGGTCTTCCCTGGGCAGCATCACTCAAAGATGAGTCCCACGCTTCCAAGAGCATGCCAGGATTGAGCCAGGAAGGGTGCAAATAGTGGGACCTTCAGCCACAATGTCCTCACCATACTGGCTACCACTCTTCTACTGACCTAAAGAATGGCTTCTGCTGGACACCTGAGGCACCTCCTGCTGGGCATTACATGGCTGCCACAGGCCAACTTGAAGATACTTGTAATTAAAGGGGAAGTAAAGTACCTTGCCACAGTCACAGATAAACTGAAAAACTCCTTTGGGACCACCTGGCAGAAGAAATTCATGTTGACATTAAGTCTCTCTCTGTCAAAGACGGCGTTTTACCAGATTTATTCTGATCTGAGAAGATGACCCTGCCCTTAGTACAACACTACAAGAGTATTGTTGTGTGGAAGGAAAACCACATGCTAATTCAGAGATGCCTTTCCTAGGAACCTCTTACAGGAAGTTAGACTATGCTTGGGTGGCTGGGTGGGTAGCTAGTCTTGCTTCCTGCCCAGGAGGACTCCTAGGAGCAAACTTGCCTTTGTGGACAGTGCTCAGTTAGGGGAGTCCACCAAGGTCACTCTCCATCAAGAGCTTTGCCCAGATGCACTGCAGAAGCTGAACATCCCATGCTGTTAGTTCTGCTCTAAGAGGCAAAGACAAGGCAAAAAGAAGATGCCTAGGCTTGGTGGGAGAAATTTCTGTCTCTCTCTTACTTGATAAACACCCAGACAATTCCTTGACTCATCAGCAGCTACCAGGTTAACCTTCAAAGACAGAAATGGAAAGAGAGGAAGAAAAATAACCTGTCCTTAAAGAGGTGGGAGGATGGAGAGATGCAAGCTTGAAGTCTGGAGAAAAGCTCTTGCTGTCAGTAGGAGGGGATGGCTTTTCACACCACAGAACTGGAAGCAAAGCCTTTGTCCAGTGAGAGAAAAGAGTCCCTGGACGTGAAGCCTGAAGTTATCAGCTGTGCATACAAGGACTTCTAAGTGAAGATGCATTTGCACAGCTCTAAGATACCCTGTTTTAGTCACATGAACAATCTCCCTTCCCCTCCTCAATCCCACATCCTCCCAAGCACACGGAAAATCCTCAGAGCTTCGATCTGCAACAAAACCTTGACACAAGCACCTCTGACCTACAGACACAAATCCATTTATTGCTGGGCTGGGAGGCTGGACAAAGAGGAGTGGTGTCTCAGAGCTGGGTGCCAGGGCCATTCTCTGATTCAGCAAAGCCCTTGATAAGAAATGTCATCCTCCATTCAGTAATTTTAGCCCATGAGATAAGAATCTCTATCAGCCTCAAACATATGGCTGGCTGCAGTGCATGCAGCAAAATGAGACAGGTAATTTATGTGCTTGTGCTAAGAGCACTCCCAGACCCAGAAAAGCTGATGCAATGAAATAACAAGCGCCAAATTACACTCTATCCTTCTTTGGAGACCTGGAAGAGGCTCCTGTGAGATACAAGGGGTTGTATCTCTCTCCTTTATGCATCAAGGCACCAAGAAGACAATAGTCCTACATGACTAATAAGACTGAGCTGCACGGGATTTTCTAAGGACTGTTCTTCTCATTAAATCCTACTTGTTACAGAGGAATTCACACCCACAGATACGACTGGTGCTCTCTATGAAGTGCCAGTAGATGCTTCCCAGGGGAAGAAGTGGAGGGGTTAAATGACAGAATTACACAGGACTGAGGGTGAATTCCAATCTCCTGGTCATTGGAGCAGGACCATCAGCCCACCAGGTGCTGTGATGTCCCCTGGCTGAATCCAACTTAGCACCTCTGATTTAGGTGACCTTGGCTAACCCATATAAACACAATACTGGGCCAGAGACTGCATGGCTTGGGTTGCTCAGAGTAATGAGCTCTGTACCCTGAGCACAACAGGAGCATCTGATCCATGGGGACAAATGGACATAAAGGACACTCCCAAGAAACACCTAGCACTTTAAGCACTGGATTCTGCAGGGATCTGCTGAGAAAAGCTCATTCCTAAAGCACTCTTTCTTATACTCTTTCCTCTCTTAGCTATCACCAAGGGAGATACCAAAGTAGATGGTCTTGCTCTGCACAGCCACTTTACTCTCTTTCATCTTTAACAATGTGGCTGCTCTTCAATGTGTATCACACATTTTGTCACCTCACCTTTAAATGGGGGAATTTCAACACAAGATTAACATCTAAACATCCACTCTGAAACAGAAACTTTGGCTTAACGAACAAATACTTAAATTTGGTTCTTCCAAGGAACTGGGCCAGACCCAGACTTTGAAAGAATTCTTCATCTCTCTGATTCAAATCTGCTTTAGAAATGTTGCAGCTACACATTTAGTCATAGATAGTCTCTTCATAGATGTGAAACCAGTGCTACTTCCCAGCCAGTGGTACCTTCCCACCACCATATCTACCCATGTCACTAGCATTCTCACTAGAAAAATCAGCAGTTAAACTAACAGCTGAATGAGTCACAGAGGTCAAAAACTTCTAATACAAAGTGATGGTCCTTCCAGCTCAGTGCTGAGACATGAGGGTGAGGGACAGCCAGCAAATCTCTGATCGGAAGAAAAGGGGGGGAATTTTCACCTCGGTGGAGTCCAGTTCAGCAATTTTCATCACTGCCAAATTTATTAGGGCATATTGCCATGACAGTATAGGTCCCCATGCACACGCTGGCATGGCCTTCATGGCAACAACACACACACCACACATACTCAGAGAGAGAGTCTGATGAACCCTTTCCACCCTCACCACCATCCAGCCTTCAGAGTGCACGGAGTGCACAAAGTGCAGCAGAGGAAAGCCGAATGTTCCCCGTGCTCATGGAGTTGTGTCACTAGAACAGACCAAGCCTGACACCCCTCTGTCATCCTGGCCAGCCTTCTCCTCCAAGGAATGCTTCCAGCACTCAAGAGCCCAGGGTCCAGCATGGGAGGAGCTGTGCATGTTTATGAGGAAAAACATTTGCAGCAGGAAAGAAGCTAAAAATTAAATCAAGCTTCAACTTTCTTTTTCACAACCAATGTTTATCAGTTCTCCAAAGGTAGTAAACTGGAAACAGCTAATTTTGCTCTATTTTCTGCCTTTCTCTTCTTGTGGCTTTGGACAAAGCAATGTGAAAGCCCATACATTTCAGCTCTCTCTGTTTCTCATCTGTTTGGAAAACACATCACTGTCCTGCTCTGGAGCTACACAGAGTGCAGTGCAAACAGTGTGAGTGACTTGTCATCCTCACTGCCAACAACAGAGCAGCAAGATCCTCAGGCATAAAGTAAAGGCACAAGTCCAGAAACAACACATTTAATGTGTGTGTGTGTGTGTGTGTACGTGTGTGTGTGTGAGAGCAGAGATGCTTGAAAAATTGAAAAATTAAGTCTTAGATATGTGGACAACTAAGGCAGTCAAAATTTACTGATGATTTTTACATGAAGCCTGCCCAAGGCATGGGTGATGCAGGACACAGGAAGAGGCCAGGTAACAGGACAGAGACTGGGGGCAGTAAGAGAAACTACTCAATGCATGGACTTATTACTCATCTCACTTCTTGTCTGATGGATATTTCAGTGAGGTATGAAGGAAAGAAAATATTTTGCACTCATTTTTTTCTTACCTTGTTACAAAGCTTCAGTCCCACTCTGGAGGTCAGGAAGCTGGCTTGTAGCATCACCTCTTCGCCTTCTTGTATCTTCCCCTGGGCACACTCTTCCCAGGTAAAATCTGTCTCTAAACCAAGATGTATATGCCAGGCTTTTGTCCTTTTGAGCACTCCTTCCAACAGCAACACAGCATTGATTTTCATTACTTGTGCAAAGCAGCCAACTCCATTCTATCTCCTTGTGTGACACTGGAAATATAAATTTAAGCTCCTCTGTCCCCAAAGTCTAGAGGGAGGGTTGCCTGGCAAGTTCAGAAAGTCTTCTGAAGTACTATAATCCAAGCCCAATTGCAGCTCATCAAGTTTCATCATCCAAACAGTGGATACACCTATAAAGAAAACACAGTTTTAATATCTGGATCAGGACAGATTGAAAACCGTCAGCCTTTATACATGATTTCTATTAGTATCAAGAGCGTGATGTCTGGTTCACCCATCAAAGGACACCCTGACCTTGCAGTACTGACAAAAGAACATCTTGCTGCCTCAAGATTCAGCCAATGGAAGGTGCTACTCTAACAGAGATGAATAAGAGATATCAAAGAAAAATCCAGTTCTATCATCCTTGTGGGATTTAAAGATCTTCATATTTTTTCCTACCATTCTGAATAAGAGGAAGGAAATATACACAACTTGAAATTTTGAGAGTTGCTGAATTGAAACTCATTTTGACTTGATGCACTTTGTTTCGACAGTTGGAAAATTTCCCTTTGGAGTCACAAACTTTTACGTTTTGTATTATAACTTCCATTAGAAACAAAGACTCCTTTCAAATACAAACCAAAATGCAGATGGAGTCAGAAAGTTTAGCTGTACTGTCAGCAGCCAACCCTCTCCAAATTTTTACTACACTTTTCCCAAAAAGAAGGATTTACAGAAGCTGACTGTCTCCTGAGGGTGCGTTCAACTGCAACACGGCACCGGATTAGTGACAAAGTAAGAGTCAGCTCTCAAATGCCAACAAAGGAAACACTGAGCTACTTTAATCAAATTAAGTGGATTTCAATACACAATGCAGCACACAGTTAGCTTTACATGTAAATTTTACCCTAAGACAATGTAAGTGTTCAACTGCAGACTGTCACAAACTAGCAAAATGACTACACTGTGTGTTGATTAATACTAACGCAGACATTGCTCTGCTGGGTATAACACACTGCTCCACTGAGGAGGCAGGAACAACTCCAGAAATCAAATCTAGATTAAATTCTAAGTTTTATCAAAAATAGCCATTTCTTTGTGTGCAGCATTTAGGTACTTTATCTAAAGACTTTCATGATGTCCAGGAGCTCTTCCACAGGACACTGGCTAGACACAAGCAACCCAACATAATGGACCTGAGAGAGAAAGAAGCAGCCTTCATCTTTGTTCAGGGGACATTTAAAAGAGATGGAAAATAAACACAATGAAGATGTCTACAAGGTTTCTTTGGGTGGGAAGAGCTGCAGAAGAAGAGGCCAGCAGCCCTATCCCTGCAAATTAACTCCAGCCCAGCAAGGAGAGAAGGATTACCAGGGTGGGCCAGTGACACAGAAACTCAGGCGTAGGAGGCGGCTGGGAATAACTTGTAATTTAACCTCATAAAATAAGAGCTCTCTTATATCAATGGAAGCTTGGTCCTACCCAGATTTAATGTTCCTAGTTACACAGACCAATGGTGAAGTGAGGGCCCTGCCCATGGCAGAGGGGCTGGAATAGATGATCTCTACAGTCTCTTCTTCATAGGGCTTTCTATGATATCATTGTATGAGAAGCAGGAAATCTGGTCAATGCTGCAGAAGAAACCTCTTCCTTGGGTGCACAGGATGTGGCGCAGGAGGTACAAAGCCACTGAGCCTCAAACACACCTTTGCTAGGGAAGTCAAGCAGTGTGGTTCATAGCTGCTGTGGTGGAAGCAAATGGCTCTGGCACTGCCTGGGAGCACAGAGGGTACAGCTAACAAGATGGCAACTGGAAACAAGATGGGCCCCAAGCCATGAGGGTGGTAATGCCACCCACAGCTCCAGAAACATGTCTCTCTGACCATCTCTTGCTGCTTTCTGTGTTCACATGACAAACATTAACAAGCCATGCTGTCGTTCCTGCTTCAAAACCTGCAGCGCTGTTTCAGCATCTTTACTCTCTGAAGGACCACACACACAAACCAAGGTGCTGCAGGCTCCTCTGGGGCTGTGCAATGTCCACCTCCATCCTGTGAATCACCAGCTGGGCCGCTCTCTGACACGTAACCAAGAGCACTTGATGGCCCATCCTTGGCCAGCTCACGGTGCTGTGTCACCCATTAGAGAGAAAGAGGCAGAAATAGGATGAGATCTCCTGCCTTTGGGCCATTCATCTCACAGGCACCTACCACACCAACATCTCCTCCTCACAAAAGGGCTTTGCCACACCCCAACCACACGTTTCAACCTTCTTCCCCCATTTTAACCTGCATAACCTCCAATGTTACCCCGCCATCCCCGGAGGGAGGTGACACACTAGCCTTCATATGGGGAGATGAGATGCTTTTCTTCTTCAAAGACCTTGTGGCTGCCATCACCTTCCAAGACCAGGCATCCACATCAGTAGTTTGCAGTGAGCACCACGGACTGGTCTGCTCTGAAGACATGCTCTCTGTGACACAGAAAATGAGCCACCAGCAGAAGTCACTGGGGAAAAGGGAGGAAGAGCAGCCTGGTGTGAGGAGCTGCAGTGCTCACCAGATCTGAGGCCGTATCGGGAGGGCTGTGACCCAGGGCGTGGAGTGTGCAGCCCAGAAAGACACTGCACAGCTCAGGGCTCTGGGAATTATGGAACGTTATCCTCAGGCTGCTGGCAATATTCCCTTGGGCAGGGCACAACACTGACACAGTGACATTAAAAGCACAGCTCCCAGTAGTACCCTGGCTGCCCAAAGCCCTGGCATGAGGCAGCTGAGCTGCCCCAAAGCTGACCCTCCCTGGAGGAACACCACATGCTGACAATCCTGGTGCAGGGATTAGCAAGGCAGTGTTGAAGTGCTAAGCAGATACAACCAGGGAGAGAAACAGCTTCCCACTAAGAAGGGGATAGGCAGGAGTATCTTCTCACACAAGGAGAGCTTGCCCTGCTCTCAGCTGAAGTCAGTGTTCAGACAGACAAATGTCTTGCCCACATGGCTGAGTTGCAACAGCATAGGTACACAGTGACCTGTAACCAGGCAAACCTGGGGCACAGTACTTAAAATTACATGCAAGATTACTTCCAAACACCCTACACGAATGGTAAAAGCAAGAATAATTTGGGTTACAGTCTGGATTGCCTTCCTTTCCCACGCTTCCTCGGCAGCTGGTTGTCCTTGCTTCTGCTGCTAAACTTCCCCCTCCTCCATTTCTGCATTACTCATAAATTAACATCACACACAGCAGCAGGCAGTAAAACACACCAACAGCACTGCTGAAGGCATTGACTTCAACAGTGGCTTAAGCAGATGTGCTAAGGAAACATCTGGATGATATTACCAAAAAGCTTTCTAGGTTCCCTGTCAGATCAACACCTCTGTTTCCTCTGAATCATTACACATAAGAAACAACATAGAACCAATAATAAAAACATCTCATTTCGAAATACAGTTAACTCTCTGTGTCTAGTATCTAGAAATTCACCAGCACAAACCCCCAGTGGGAGCAGCCAGTCCATGATCCCCAGGCAAGAAGCTTGGTGCTACACTCCATAGCCAGCAATGACAGGTTTGACTGGCACAGTGCTTGCAGGTTAACCATCTCCATGGTTAATCTTCACAGGAGAAAACAATTAATGAAGATCCGAAGAGGTCAAAAAAGCCTGCAGGACTTTGGAGCCAGTGGTATGCACCTGTCCTGTCCCATCGTCCACTGGAGATCTCAGTGTTATTTCCCTCTTGTGAACTACTTTCCTTCCCCCAGCTCTGTAAAACACATTCTGTGCAGCTCTCAACTTTGTAAAGATTTTTGACGTCTGGTTGGTAGAGAGAGAAAGGCTGGACTAAAACTTCTTTCAGAATACAACCAAGGAAAAAAAAATCAAAAAGATTAAAGAGACACTTGGCATATTAAAGAAATGGATGCGTGGAAACTTTTTAAGCATACGAGACCTACAGGACTGGCTGAGGTAAGAGGCATAATTAGCCCAACGTGAGCTCGCAAGGCAGGTCCATGGTGCCTGGCCCCACAGACGAGGGATGTCACGTACCAGCAGAGGCCCTGCTATCTTCGGGCCCTGGGCTGGCACAGCTGATGGGAGTGTGAGGTTTCATACCTGTACCCACACTTCAAGAATACTGCTGGAAAAACTGGAGAGAGTTCAGAGGACAACCACAAGAACAAACCTGGGCTTGTAGCAAGGAGCTCAAGGAAGTCAATCAAAGAGAAAGTTAAAAGGCACCTCGCAGCCTGTAGGTACCTGTCAGAAGAGTGCTCTCAGCCTGCCAGACAAAGGCATAACGAGACCAAAGGTTGAAAGTTGAAGCTCAACAGAAAACAAACCAGAAACAACGATACCATTTTTCAACACTTCAGGTAATTAACAGAGAGAAGAGTCCTCCAACTGGCATGGACAAGGATCCAGCACTGGCAATTTTCAAAATAAGATGGGATGCTTCCACCTTGCTTCTCTTGCTCCCCCAAAAATGTGTGCTTGGTTGCATTCACAACTGCTGACTGCAGAGTGTAAATTAATTCAAGGACTCTCTGTTATACAGCAGGTCAGACTAAACAAGCACAATGTCCTAAAGCCTAGAAATCCATGAGGTACTAAAAACAAGAGGCTCAACTACTGGTGGTACGAAGAACAAGATGCCCCATTATCAGTGGTCGGGCTTGTACAGCCCACACATCCCTGTCCCATCCAAAGGTCCTCTGCATCCCATGACTACCCAGATGTGGATTCTGAAGAGCAGTAAAAGAGCCAGATCCATACCATAAGCAGCAAAATAAAATGCTGTTAAACCAAGAAACTCACTCTGATATTTTTCTCCCAGTTAAAAAACCAGAAAAAATCATATCCAGATAAAAGCGAATTAAAAAAAATACACTCACTGGCCAAAAACATAGCATAATGTAAGAAATAAGCATTTTACAGTGAGAACAACCACTCATCGGAATAACTTCCCCAGGGAGATGGTGGAATTGCCATCACTGGAGGTCTTCAAGATACAACTGGACAAGGTTGCTACAATCACCTTGGCTCCCTTTCCCACAAAAGACTGAACCAGACAATCCCTTCCAGTCTGGGCTGGTCTGTGGCTCTACGAAAGGCACACAAAACTTTCCTGACTACAAGCACTTGAGCCAAAGGAATGAAGCTCCCAGTTCTGACACTCTGAAACCACCC